AGAGAGAGAGAGAGAGAAACACACATCAGTAAAGTCCTCAGACAAATCACATGCTCTCAAAATTGTACTTTTTAGATGAACTATCCCTTTAAATGTCAATAGAATTGAAAGAATGATTAAAGAAAAAACAGACACACATACAGCAGACCAAAAGATGATCAATAGCCGCTTAACCGCACTTGATCAACCTCAAGCACTAACATTTGAGCTTCTGTTTACCATATTTGATGTGCTTTATGTATCTGCACTGATCAATGTCTACATGTAAAACCTAACTTAAATCTGTTAAATGTGTTTTTATAAGAATAAAGCCTAAATTAAATCGGTTCATCATATAAAGTGATCACATCTGTATGGAAGCTTCAAAGTTTCCATATGCAAATCGATCATAATCGAATCATTACATAAACTCATGATAATAATTCAGCATGGCCTTATTTACCAACAGATGATGTTATCTCTGTGTTTGGTCGAAGGATATTTCAGGGGCAGAAATATCTCAGGTTTCATTAAAAATAACTTCATTTTCGTTTCAAAGATGAATGAAACTTTTACGTTTGGAATGACACGAGGGTATTTGATAGCAGAATTTCATTTTTGGGTGAACTATCCCTTTAAGCCACAAAGGTTAAGTGTGTATACAAGTATTGATATTTGCGACACAGATATCACAGAAAAATCTACACCCTAAATGTTTTTTTTAGTAATTTTATAATTTGTATTGCATGCAAATAAAATAATAATATCAATGTTATAATAATTTAAATGATGGCATCTCTCAATGTGATGTCAAAGACAGAAACATCACCTATTTCACTAAATAAAGGCAGATTATTAGAATAATTTGATGTGATTTCTGCTATAAGATTAACCATGTTCTGTAATTGCTGTTAATAAATGATCAATTAAAACCATCTGGTAACTTGCAGTTATTAAATATTATAAATGACGGCTTTTGGTGTTGATATTGAATGGCTATATCATCACTACTTGCTGCACATGAGTTTTTTTACATTATTTGATGGTAAGCAACAACGTTGATACCACTTCGTGTCAGATTGAATTGCTGATCGTGTTATTGAAATGAGTATTTTCTGAGATGTTGGTATTTGCTGTTTTTGACTGAAAACGGACTCACTGCTGAGCTCAGTGTTAGCGATGCGCAGAGACGCGCTCTCAGACTGCAGGCTGCGGTTCTTCTCCAGCAGCAACACCTCTAACGGTTTACACGAGTCCTGTGAGAGACAAACACATCAGATCAACGCCAAAGAATTACACACTCAAAACAAAACTACTGTTTACCTGCGCTGTGGAGCTGTCACACGGCCCAAACTCCATCGACTTCAGGATGCTGTCAATATATAAAACAGAGCCTTACTTCAGCCATGATGAAATAAAACAACACGATATTCAGAGATGTACCCAAGCACTCAACAATGATCAGCCATGATCATGCATGACGTGACTTCTCACTGAACTTGAAATTCAGTAACAACCAAACACACACGTCAAAAACGAGCCTCGATGTTAATAAGCTGCTACAAAGCTTATTATTATTAT